CGGGAACAGGTCATCGTCGGAGCATTAGCAGAGAAGCAGGTGTGTCGTTGGATTGACTGCAGTGCCACATATGAGCAGCAGGAGGAGCTTGTGAGGCACATTGAGAAGGTCCACATCGACCAACGCAAAGGCGAGGACTTCACCTGTTTCTGGGCGGGCTGCATACGCCGCTACAAGCCCTTCAATGCCCGCTACAAGCTGCTAATTCACATGAGGGTTCACTCTGGAGAGAAACCCAACAAGTGCATGGTGAGTCAAGCCAAACCAGTCAATTACCAACACCGTACACCCTTTACACAATACTGTTGACAATCTGTCATAGTTTCTTTCAAAAGGTTCCCACAAGGTTCCATCACACAAAACTATTATTTAATAGAGTTAAGGTTACCAGAAGTAGTTCATTTGGGACATAAGTTATATAGTTTTAGTCGAACCTTTTGTCTCAACAAGAGGAAATCAGAATTTCATGATAAAATACAATAAAAGTTGTTTGAGTAGCACCGTGCCTCATTAGGATAAATAAATTATGAATTATGTTAGTTTTACAGTTTTATTCTCCACAGGTTAGGCTCCAATTCCACGAGTCAAATTACTAATCAGTGTCAAGCTGTCACTCCCCCCGCATCCACTTACTAATGGAAAACACACACACACACACACACACACACACACACACACACACACACACACACACACACACACACACACACACACACACACACACACACACACACACACACACACACACACACAAGAATGACTTTGTCCAAATACACTATTAGTCCACAATTTGTGTAGGGCGAAGCCATGTTTATTTTCACAAGCACTCGGTTTTTCGAGGGGGGATTCAGATCATGAAAAGCCAACGCATATGGTTAACATAACCAAACAATGCCTACACTTGATCCTTTTAAATAGGAGCTTTAAATGTTTAGCTGTCCCACAAGTATTAAGTGAATTGGCCTCGTTTCCAAGCCAAACATGAGGAGAAATGTGGTAGTATGGTGAAGAGAGCCGCAGAGGGAAAGAAGGCAACATTTGCAAGTCTTGCTCAATTCTTGGTTTTACCCAGAGCCCCTGTCAGGAGTACTGCTGCTCAAGCTGAAAAATAAATCCTAATCCTGACGCTAATAGAAAACCGAACCTGCACCCGTTCAGCGCTCACATCCAGGTGTTGTTTTATGAAATGACTCTGGTTTTAAAGGTGAGAGCGGGGTCTTTTGTTGATTCAAGTGAGATTTATGTCACGCACAAACTCCTTGACGAGATCCCTGGTAATTAGCTTTAGAACTGTCATTTCACAAGTTTTCGTTTAATTTTTGCTGTTATTGTTGCTGTGTTGAGTATCATGCAGGCGGGTCTTTACTACAGCGAGGTCAAACACTTTGGTGACAAACAGCAAACCGACGTGAGCGTTTGTTTATCCTGGAGAGACAGGTACACTCTGACAAGGTGCGACTCTGCTTCTTGAGGATGTTTACCATATGTGAAAACAATTCACCTCATTGTGGACAAACCGCTGGACTACGTCTGGGAGACGAGGCACCGTGAAACTCTGCAAAACACATCTGATGCATGCATAAACACACACGGTTGCAGCTGAGCGGCCGTGTAAAAATGGGCTCATTGTGTCCGCAATACAAAGTATGGATTCTCTTCAGCTTGAATCAACACATTTAATCAATGTGTTTGTTAAGATGGGATGTCAGAGCAAAAATAAACACACTTTCTGTGTGTTTTCATGTATTTTGAGTCAATAAGTAGGTACTTGAAAGATATGAGAACACCATGCTTTTTTACATTTTTGCCGCTCTAGCTCTGGCGCAGCTTGTTTTGGTTGCGCTCACGTAATAAACAAAGGTATTCAAAGATTTAAGCGGTTCATATAAAGAACAGGAATAATCCTTTTATTATCTTTCCAGCGGCAGCTTCCAGCAGGCGCTCATGAAGCCGGGCTCTGCTGACATCCAAACATAACACATCCCTCTCCTCGGCCCTCCCGACAAACACTGTTCACTCTTTTTCTCCATACAGCTGCACAGCATTTGCTCCACGCTGTGTCTTGGCACAGAAAAGTCATTATCACAACATACGAGTTGTACTTTGAACCCGGCGTGTGCTGTCACTCTCTGTACCTGGATAATATTTTAGGAGATTTCCCCGCTTCATAAAAAAAAGAAAATAAAAACTGCACAAGTTTCTTCTATATGCAGATGGCTGAATTTTAAGGTCACATACACTTCTGCTAAATTTCAGAAAGCTTGTTTGGTTCCCACCCCCTACCCCCTCTTTCTGTTAAAGGCGGGTTGTTGTGCGGGCCAGGACAGCGCTGAGGGACACGTGGACCTAAAGGAAACAACATAATCTCTCTGCAATATCCTGTTGTGTTTCACTTGTTGTTTTAGTTTATTAGATTTTTTTCTGAGCGTCTGCGTAAATATTAAAAATATATCCAGCCGGAGTGGTCCTGTCATGGTCTCGGACTTTGATATTGCCCTGCTTCGTCAGAGGCCAGCCTGGCGGTCTGGAGGCAATGAAGTTTAGAAAACATGTCTCTAAAGCACCGAGGATCTGTGTGAGTGTGTACACGAGAGCGAGGGACTTCAGGAAAAAATACAAACCTATGCTTTTTGTTTGGTTTGTATAGCTTACATATTTTTGACAAATCTACGTGTAGGATTTGAGAAAAATCTGGTGTGCATCTCTGCAGTGAGTCGCAACATAACCTGCATGTTCTTCAACAACATGCCTAAAAGTGAGAATAACTGGTTAGGCTTATTGTTGGGGTTAAACCAGTAAAAGTGATTTTTGGTCGTGAAGCAAAAAAAAAAAAACTGCTACAGAAATTTCAATTCACAGTCTGCTGTTTGGATCGCTGGCTGTAATGCACATAACACACAAGCTTGCAAAATAAAGAAGGACAACACCTGTCCCCCTCCAGCTCGGCTGTGTGACTGCACCAACCTGTCCTGTGGGACCCTCACCATGTAACCCTCATGTCCATGCTGTCTCTGGAGGAGCAGACAGGAGACAAGATCTCAAGTAACTTTAAATGAACCAAGGCTTCCTCCCAGTTTCTCTTTAAGTTGAATTGAACATCAGTTTATCATCATGAAACAAAAGAATAAAGTGGAACGAGAACTTCTATCTTCTATCTCTCTCTCCTTTTAACTTCTCCGTGTCCCTAAATAAAAGAGACAGATGATTATGCTGCAGCCGCCGTCACTCACCCCGCTCCCTCCCCAAGACCGGACCTCCCGACATCACAGCACTCGGTCTGACTGAGCGCTTCCAGGAGAAACAATAATGAAATTATGAGAATAATAATGCGTGTTTGGAGGAGCGTCCTCCGATCCTCTCTCTTGTGTGAGCAGACAATCTCCCGTTCTCTCTGTCTCAGTCGCCGATCGAGCGAGCGTAATTTACGGCCCAAATCCAACAGAACCGGTCGGGCTTATTCGATTCGGGTTCGGTCTCAGGTTACAACTCCAGCGCTCAGCTCTGCAGTACCACATAAAGGCAGATCAAAGTTTCCCCGGTAAATGTGGAGAACACCGCTCTGACAGATTTGGGTGCTGCGCTGGTGCCGCCGTACAAATAACACAACTACATTCCACTATAATTGATTATGGTACTCTTCTATGATGCAAAACCGTTTATGCCCGCATCTCATGCATTGACTATTTGATTATTTTCCTCAGTTCTATCTTAAATCTCCCGGTCGGCCGTCGGGGGTGGGGGTGGGGGGGTGCGCATGGGGTTTGGGGGCCACTGTTAGGCCATTCCCATCTGTACCTGGTCGACCCGGCCCGGATGGCATAGCTTGCTTACATATCTTGGCGGCCTGCCTTTTTTCAGGGTGCAATGAGACTGTTTTTCAGCCCTCTTTCTGAGGCGGTCTGCTTCAGGCTGACCAGGGCCAACACACCCACTGCTGACTGATGAGCCGGCAAATTCACACCTTCCATTAGAGCAAGCCTCTGATTGGTGGGTAGAGTCAGCCCACATGGGCTTAAGGTATTCATCATCATTCATTATCATGCTGATTACTTAGAAACTGAAAATATCTCTGACTGCATCGTTGCATACCTAAGAAAGGATGTGTGGAATCAACCGGGCCGGGCTGGGGCCGACTGGAGCTATCCGGGCAGGGCCGACCTGGTACAGATGGGAATGAGGCAGAAGGCTCGCGGGCCGGACGTGGCCCGCGGGCCGCCATTTGCGGACCACTGTTATAAGGTGTCAGAATGGTAAATTTCTTGGATTATTATGTAACTACAATAGAATTCACTCTGTCTGGATGGAGCAATGAATGTTTTTTTTAATGTTTTTTTGCCTTTGTGTTTTTTTTTACACTGACCAGCCCAAACAATACAGAAGTAACAAGGCTATTTTTATACTGGTAGTAGAAAGTACAAATAATTGCATGAAACTGTAAGGAGAGGAGCTAGGTAATTACTCAGTATAGATACCCAAAAATTCTACTTAAGTAAGGTAACTAAGTATTTGTACGTTGACAATGAATGGTTTTGCAGAAAAAAACTAATGTACATTAGATCTTCTGTACCAAGGAAGCTTCATAGACCCTTTGGGAACAGCTGCTGAATGTTTTCAGACAAATAGACTCCTTTCCAGTCAACAGGCTCAGGTGCAGAAGATAAAAAGAGGCGATCCATTAGCTAATTAAAATTGTGGTTCAGCCCATGAGCGAACTTTTCCTCTGAATGCTGCCTGAAACTGGAGCTGGACTCTGGATGCAAGTGCAGAGTGGAATCCATAACAACACGTTTGAGTGTCTGACCCACCGATACATCCGCCTGATTCACTGTGGGTAGAAAAGCACCGGCTGATAAGATGTTTTATTTCAGTTCTTGATGAAAAAAGATCTTAAAAGAAGCCTCAACAACAAATTTCCAGTTGATGTTTTGCTAAACATCAACAAACAGATATGACAGAGATTTGTAAATAGAAAATAGAAATCAGTGAGGTCTGCTGTGGGTTTTATCTGGCTGCACACACATTGTTTATGTTATAGTGAGAGCATGATGCTCCATATGGCTCATGCAGCAATCAGAGCAATAGGCGGTAGAGGCATTGATTCATAACTCACTCAGGAAAAAGAGCTCCTGTTAAATTTGCACCACTGACTCATAATGCAAAGACCTAATATGGGCTAAAAAAGGACCAGGCTGATTTAAACTTTTAGCACTTAAAGGGCCCCTGCTTCTTACTAAATACTTTTCAACACA